CTTCAGCTTAGGGGGTTTTTTTTCTATCAAGTACAACATGTACATGTGCGGCAGGGAGATCTGTTCTTTCCTTGGGATGCTCTCTACCTAGTATTTGGACTCAAATGGGGGCCTTCGGTCGATGCACCACATGGTTCTTCAGCCGGGTCACGCCCATTAGGACATTGCCGATCGCCTTGCCTGACCAGGCCGGATCTGGTTCCTCCTCGCGAGCGCAGCCTGGCACGTCGACCGCGCCACTGCGGCGGTTGGGGCTTTGCCGGAGGAGTTGTTGGAGAAATTTGTGCAAATGGTTTTGTAGTTGTTGGATATTGAGTTGGTGAGGGCTGGAGGGGGGATTGTGTATGGCCAAGGGTAGGTCCGGGGGGGGGGGGGGGGGTTGTAACAATGTGGGTGGGCCTTTGGCTGGGGGCAGAGTTGAGTTGGCGGCGTTGCAGTTTTAGGCCTGGGGGCGCGTGGTGTAGCCCCCCGGGTGCAAAGTCACCTCGGCGAGGCGCCTGACGAGCGGGAAGAGCTGAACCTGCATGCGCATGGTGGCGACGCGGCCCATCTTGACCGAGTACCCGTTGAGCGCCGTCGCGCGCTTGTGCACGCGAGTGCTCAAGTTCTTGACGACGCGCTGCTGCACCTTCTCGTAGCTGCGCCGGAGGCGGTGGCCCCACTTCTCGGGCGGCAGCGGCACGAGATTGATGACAAAGGCGAGGCCGCGCCCAAGGAGGACGATGATGTTGAAGGGGGGCGGCGCACCGAGCGCATCCTTGTATTCGAGGACGAACTCCGACTCAAACATGGCGAGGTAAAAGATGTGGTCGCCCGCGATGGTCTCGTACGTGGTGGTCATCTTTGCAATCATCAGATTGACGAGGTAGACGGTGGTGAAGAAGGCAAAGACCCACACGAGGAGCGGCAGCCAGTTGAAGAAGAGCGCCGTGCGGACGTCCATCTCGCACGGGACAGGTTCTTCGGCATCCCCACAACCAGCATCGGCATAGTTGTCGTGGTAGAACTTCTCCTTGAACTCGATCTCCCCTGTTCACAGCCGTGTCTGTGAAGGGTCACTGCATGAGAATCGCGCGCGCGCACACACACGGAGATCGAAACTCGCCGAGCGCCGCCCACAGCGCGTGCGACCACATCGGCCCATTGAAGTGCTGGTATTTGTCCGACATGGGGAGCGACGTCTGGAAGAGGACGGCGCAGACAAAGGTGAAGTAAAAGAGGATCACCATCACCGGCCACGAGTCGACGATCATATACCGCAAGATCATGAGCACCTCCCCGACGGCGGGCACAAACATGAGCGTCTCGACGAAGCGCAGCATCAGGCCAAGGAGGGATATAGCGAGCATATCCGTCACGGCCTGCGCGCCAGCACAGAGGGTCGGGTGGGAGGTGACTACGATAGGCGACCACATCTATGGGGTATGGGGATGAAGGATGGCGAGCTGGTTGAGGGCGAGCTGCAAAAGGACGGCAGCATCAAGCTCCCCTACGCCTGCGAGCTCCAAAAGTCGGCAGAGGGAATCAAGGCCATCAAGGCCATCAAGGCAGCGAGCGGCCCGAAGGTGAGGATCCTGTCTGACTGTCCGCCTGGGCTTGGCTAAAAGTCCACTGGCCCTGCGCCGGCAGCGCGGCGCACCATACTGCATCGTGGCACCAGCCGTCATTCATCAGGCCACGAGCTCGAGCGACTCTGAACCGGTCGGAAATGGCGGCGCGGACCCGATATCACACCGGCGACAGTCAGTCGGCGTGTTTTCTGTGACTATTTTCGAGCGCCATACTTTGCGGAATCTAGGTTGGGTCTTGCATGGTGTGTGTTCTATGTTTTTTTTGGGCTTCTTAACCAAGCAACGCCAAAAAGAAGTCTCGGCTGATCTGCCTGTCACAGTGTGTCCGAACGCGCGCTGCGGGGTGGTTCCGAGTTTAGACTCTGTACATGCCCCCAGCCCCAGGTAGGGGCGCGCGCGAGGTCCCACCTGTTTGGATCTCTCTGTGGATTCTCTCCCAGACGCGCTGGCTGCGCATGCGCCACATGGTATGCGCACTGGTGGGCAGCGCAGGGGGGTCACGGTCGCTCTGCCCGTCCGGCGTGCACTAGATTGCACTGGTCCCGTTTCACCCACCCACCCACCCACCTTTCCCCCACATCTCGCGGCACCTAGCACCTCCACGGCCATCCCCCATCAACATCCCATGCCGATCGAACGTGAGCACCATGCCTCGCGCATCCCCCGCCCCTGACCCTCCGTCACTGCTGCCTACCCCCCGCCGCCGCCGCCGCCGCGCACCCAAAACGCCCTAGTAGCAGAAGGTGCCCGCCGCGGCGTCGCGCTCGAAACCGAAGAGCTCGACGGCGGCATGCTCCGACTCGTCCTCATCGAGAGGCTTGGTGATGTCGGTGAGCGTGACCGCCGCGTGCACCCGCAGCGGAGGGACCACACCTCGAGGCAGCAACCGCTTCCGGCTACGCGCGGTTGCCCC